TAGAATATGAAAAAAAAAAAATTGCCAGAAATACCCACTAAAGTGGTTGTCTCCCATAATTCGGCTGCTGCAATCTTGTAAATTGACGAAAGAGTCGGTTGGAAAGTTTTTAAAGTTGATATTAGCTTTCCGAAGAACAACAAGCCCGAGAAGTGAGATTTAATTTAATTTAAATAAATGAAGAAATTTTAAAAGAAATTTGCTTAAAGTAAAAATTATTCATGATAAAAAATAGACCATTCAGATAAAAAAAAGTTCGTAAATTATTAAAGTTCATACATGTCTACCTACTAGTAAGTATACTTACTTAGCAATTGAGTAATAAGATAATATATATTGTAACTTTTAAAAGTACTGCAATGTCTGAACTTTTCCAAGTAAACTGTAAAATTTCAAATGAAAAGCTAAAAGTTCGAAAATAAATAAAAAATATAGGTTGTCTCCCGTGACAACAAGCGACCTGTTTCCGGATTTTACCGAATAGTATATAGGCCTTATTTTTTTTAATTAATTTTTTTTGTGGGAGTTATACTGTGTTATTTTTTTAGTTTTGATATAATTTATTATTTATTTTAATAATTGGAACAAAATTTGATGTTAATTACAAAAAAAAAAGTAATCAGAAAAACTGAAAAGTTTTTGAAGTGGTGGTCGGAGGAGGGGAGGGAGAGAGAGAGAAAGAGAAAAAAAGTTTGAGTTATTTCCCTTGAATTGCATTTTTTTTTTCTCGCTCTCTCTCTCTCTCTCTTCTTCTATTCAAGGTCAAAGTCCAGTATGAAGATGGCGGCGAAGCTCGTCAGTCGGCCAGCAACAGAAGCACAACCCCCCTGCCAAAAACACGGCTTCGGAGGCGATCAAGACCCACACACAAGCCTCAGGTAACTCGGAACCGAAGCCGAAGGCCACAAAAAAAACCCTCAATGACCTAACAGGCGCACATAGCAATCGACAAGGCCCCGAAAACGAACAAAAACCATAGGGGAAGTAGTAGTTAGAAAGTTTTTTTTGTTTCTTTTTTAATACAAAAAAAAAAAAAAGGGCCGATGAAACCGACGTGTCAGCCATAATAAACTTATAAACATATATTTATATATATGTATCTATGTAAAAAAAAAAAAAAATATATATATATATATATATATATACACACATAAATTCACACCCACACATTCATTAAGTTTTTATTTACACCGCTGTGGTCTTATTTATACACGGACTAATCTTGTATCTATCGAACGTATTCAGTCCAACTGGATTTATTGTATGCAACAAGTCTTGGATTATCTGATTTCTGTGGATTATTAAAACCTTTAAATGGATTAAAAACATTTAAAAAGGGACCCTCGTTTCTTGTTTAAAGTTCTTAAAAGAGTGTCATGGCGATGTTGTTTGCCAATGAATACAACAAGGTAAGAAAAAAAAAAGGGGATTTGTTGCCAAAAACTAAAAGTTTTTTTTTTTTGTTTTTAATGGGAGGAAAACCAAAAGAAACCAGGAAGATGTCTATTATTTATTTATATTTCTTTTTTTGATCACTGTCGATGACAAAAAAGAAAAACAGGCGACAACCCTAGATCTTTTTATTTCATTTTTAATCCCATTTTTTTGCTTTATTTGATGAGGAATATTTTTAAACCGGTCAAAAGAGTAAAACTTTTTTAGTTTTTTGGGGTTTTTTCTCTGGAAAGTAAGAAATAACTTCTATAAAAAGAAAAAAAAAAAAGCTATAAGTAAAAAAAAAAATGTCTTGCATACAAAAGAAAACAGAAAAAAAGTATTTAAGAAAAAGTTTTGTGATGATATTTTTTAATAATGTTTACTTTTTACTCTTTATTATACAACAAAGTAAAATTTAATTTGTTATGAATTAAAAATTAACATAAAAATTGTTTGGTTAAAAAAAATCTATTAAAATTTAAATTTTTAAAAAACCGAAGTCTCTTTTATTTTATTTCTTCCTTGTTTTTTTTTAAGTTGATATCAAAATGATTATTTTCTTTAAAGATTTGGCAGATAAAAAAAAAAAAGAATTAAAAAAAAACACCAAAAGATGAAAAACTAAAACTAATTTGTTTTGAAAGGTGAAAATATTTCTTTTTATCAAGAGTTAAAAAAAATATAATTTTTAATTAAATTTATAATAAATCTAATAAAAAACGTAAAAAAATAAATTATTTATTTACTTTTTTATGTGTTTATAATTTTTCCTAGATTTTTTTTTCAGTTTCAGAGTCAAAAAGACAAATTATTTAATAAAGATATTTGTGATTTTTTTTTTTTTTTTTTTTTTTTTTTAAGAATTTTAATTAAAAAAATCGCCTTTTTAAATTTTTTTTTTGCTCTTTTAAAACTTTACTAAGTCTTCATTTATTTTTATTTTTACCTTTTCAAACTAAATCGATTATAGTTTAATTATCACATTTAGTGCTTGATTTGATAACATTTAAAAAAAAAAAAAAATCCTTAGCGACAATGACAACAATCTTCAAAATTGTTTTTTTTTTTTACTTACAAAAAATCTTTCTAGCAAAAGGTGAAGTGGGTTTATTTTAAAATAAAGGTAACTTTTATTTAATTTAAATAATTTTAAATATTTATAAATATTAATTAAAACTTATAAATTTAAAAAAAATCCTTTTTATTTTTATTTTTTTTTTCCATTTAGATAATTCGACTAAATATTGAAAACATTCTTTTTCTCTGCTTTTCTTTTTTTTTCTTTTTTTAAGTTATCTAAATCTTATTTTTTATAAAACAAACAAAGCCATTATGATATAGATAATGAGAAAGTTTGAACAACTGTCAGGACAGATCGATTTGTTTGGGCATATATTTGCTTTCTTATTTTTTAAATTTTAATAATTAACAAATTCAATTAATAATCAATATTGATTAAGAATTAATTACAATAATATCGATATTTCAGGATTTACTTTTTAATTAGTATTTTTTTTTAAACAACTTTGTGAAATCCTAAAGTAAAAAGAAAGAAGACTGTTTTCTTTTCCATTTTTTTTTTTTTTAATTCAATAAAAATGTTTTTATTATGAAGGATTTTTTATATTTTTATTTATTAGAAAACAAGTGGAATTTTAAAAAAATGAACATTTTGCTGTTAGATTTTAATTTCCTTAGTTATTTTTTTTTTTTTTTTTTTATATATTTAAAAAAAAAATCTTAAATTTTTGTATTCACCCACAAATTGTTTGTGTGTGAAAAAGTAAAACACTTAGTTTTATTTTTAGGTTTTACAAAATTGAAGTATTAAAAAAAATGATTTATTAAGTTAAAATTGGTAATATGATTCCTTTCTGTAAAATAAGAGTTTAAAAAATTGTGAAAGTATTTTTTAGTTCTTAACTTTCAAAATTTCGACTGTTTTATTTCCACTTTTTTTGAGAGTAAATAAAACAAAAAAACCTCTCTTTCGTAATGACTTGACAATATTTGATATTTATTTCTGAATTGTCAAATTTAGGACAAAGGAAGAAAAAAAGTCAACAGGCACTGACTTTGATCACAATTTTTTTTTCTTTGTTGCTTATAAAATATTTTTATTTGAATTATTCAAGTGACGAAAATTTTATTTTAATTTCAAATCTTTTCTTTCTTTATTTTTTTAAAGAAATATACACTACAGGAGTATTTTTATTTATTTTTTTATTTTTTTTTTACCAATTTGTGGGTGTGTTTATTAGGAAAAAAGATTAATGGGATTTCTTTTCTTTTCTGGTTGAGAAAACACAAAAAAAGTAAAATAAAAAACAAAAAAAACACGTTCAAAATAAAATACTTTGAGTTTTATTATCGGTTGTAGAGGAGGAGTATAAAACTAGTTGTTATTTCAGTTTTAACTTTTTCTTTATGTCCAACAACTACAGTACGCATACACACAAACACACATAATATATTATATATATATATATATATATTTTTTTTTTTTTCTTTTTCTTTTTCAAGAATGTTACTGATTTGGGTCATCTTAAACTGCACAAGAAACCTGTGTGAGCGATTTTTAACCTACCTGCGGTTCAGCACTCGATTCCCTGTGGATCACAAAGAGCTCAGCACGAAGGTAAAATTCACCCCAGGCTTTACCTGCCCTGTTTTTAATACTTATTGTATTAAATCACTTGGTTGGTATCGTTGACGTTTGGTTTCTTTCATACTTTTAAAAGTTAACTGCTGGCGGAAAATTAATAAAAAAAAACCCCCCAAAAAAACAAACCCATTTCTAAACAAAAACAAACTTTTTTTTTTTTTTTTTTTATACGTGTAAATATATCAGCAAATAATGTACATACATAATTAACAATCACTGCTACATTTTATTTTAAAATATATCCCTTGTTGAAGAAGAAAAAGAAATTTTTTTTTTTTTTTTACATTAAAAAAAAATTTTAATAATTGTCTATTGGCTTAAAAATAAGTAAAATCAAAATTTCAACCAGTGCCATAAAAAAGCCAAAAAAAAAAACACCTAAAAAAAAAAAAATTGATTTAAAATAATTTTTTTCACTTCAACAAGTTTTTCAGTGTGCTTCAAGAATGCTCATATGTTACAAGCCTTCAAGGAACAAGTGTAAAAACAACTTGCGGTTGATGCAAGCATTACCATCAAGAGGTGACCGCAAAGAACTGTTCAAAAGACTTTGGCTATCTTCTTGGCATCATCAATATTCCATCAAAAGAACAATCAAATTTCACTATCGACTGCAACGATTGTTTGGAGTTGTTGGAAAATACAAATCTGGAAGTTGCCATTCTGTTGGGTGGGCAAAAAGAAATAAACTCACAAAAAACAAAAAAAGAGAAAAAATTTACTCTCATCAAAAACAGAACTTAAAAACAAGGAACCTTCGAATAAGGTTCTGACATAAAGACTAAGAATTAAAAAAAAAAATATATATATATATATATTTAATTTCTTTTTTTTTTTTGTAACTACCTATCTACTTTACAAAACAACCAAACATTAGCCGACCATTTACTAATATCTCATGCCTAGTACTGCTACATCCAACAATAAAAACGAGCTCTATCACAACAACGAACAAGACGACAACATCCTTCCGCCTTCTGGTGAACAGCATTCCCAAACTTTTTCACCTGTTATTAACATAGTCAGGAATTCTGTCAGTCTTTCTGCAGCAACCAACAAAGCACACCTGATTGTCCCTGGCATCTGTGTTGATGATAAATGCAAAACATCTGCTGGTTTGATAACTGATTTGAACACAGCCGACCGTTCTGGAAATACCAAGTTCCCTATTCTTAACCAGATCAGTAGCACCTCGCGTGTTGAGGGGTGCAGCAGTGATCTGGGCAGTTGCAACACAACGTACTATTCCACTTTTACAGTATACATTGGGGCCGGGGGCCATCCGGTGACCGGTTCCATGGAAACAGGCAATGCAATAAATAAGCCAAAACTAATCAGCCATCATTATCTGAAGCATTCTGACGAAAGAGATGGTCTTCCTAATACTGGAATGGGGAGGGACAATGCGAAACGTAGTAGTAGTGCTGCCGCCGCCGCCGCCGCCGCCGCCGCCGCCACCACCAACACCACCACCACCACCAATACTGAAGCATATTCTCCGAGGCGCGGGACTATAGAAGATGATTCAGAAGTCAGTCTGTACCAGATGCAACAGCAAGCACAGCATCTGCATCACACCTCAACACCTTACCACTACCAACGGCAGCGCATATCCCGATCCCCGCCTCCACCACCGCCATCGACGTCCAACATACCTGCAACGGACTCCGTTGATCTGTGGACAGCCAAATACGATTACGATGCTTCACGAGACGATGAGCTGACACTTCGCAAAGGCACCAAGGTAGAAGTGCTTTCAACAGATACTTGGGTGTCTGGGGATGATGGTTGGTGGACAGGGCGTGTCAATGAGAAGGTTGGGATCTTCCCGAGCAATTTTGTAACCAAAGGTGGAGGAGATCCTACTGAGGTGAAGTTTTCTGAGATTGAAGTTCAGGAAATCATTGGTGTTGGCGGCTTTGGTAAAGTGTTCCGTGGCATGTGGAATGGCGAGGAAGTGGCTATCAAAGCTGCCAGGCAAAACCCAGAAGAATCAATCAGCGTCACAATTGAGAATGTTCGCCAAGAAGCAAAACTGTTTTGGTTGCTCAACCATGAGAACATTGCAGCTTTGAAAGGAGTGTGCCTGAAGGAGCCAAATTTTTGCCTTGTGATGGAGTATGCTGCTGGCGGTTCACTGAATCGGGTTTTGAGTGGTGGTCGTCGTATACCACCTGATATACTTTTGGACTGGGCTATGCAGATTGCACGGGGAATGCAATATCTTCATGAAGAGGCACCATTATCACTTATTCACAGGGATCTTAAATCTAGCAACAGTGAGTAGAAACTAATTATGTGTGTATTTGGTAAATTGAATGTACTCATGTTATTTGTTTCATTTCAGTTTCTGTGTTTCAGCTGTTTGGATTTACAATTTCTTTCAGAGTGGCGGGGTCTGGTTCATTATGGGGAATTTCATTTGTCTGGAAACTGGTTTCATAAAAGTGTTAAATTTTGATTTAACACTTCATCGAAAAAAATCAAAGCATAGAATATTATTACTAGTCACCAACATTTTTTGGATGACGTGTTGGCTGAAAAAAGGTTACCTTTTAGGGAAAAAAAAAAAAATGTGGTTTTGTCTGTTTTATATATATATATATATATATATATATATAATAAAAGTAAAAAATCCATTGGTATATAATTCAGGGGATCCACAAAAAAGAGCTTGATGTATTTATTAATACAGAGCAATATAATTAAGCAGCTTTTTTTTTTTCTTTTTTTTTTTTTTCAATTATATAAAATTTTCCTATTGCTATTTTCCTATTTCTTTATTGTTTCTGTATATGTACAGATCTACCAACTTTTAATGTGTGTAATATATCCAACCCTAACTCAAAATTTATGGTCTCTACTTTGTAATATTACCTTACTATCCCTCTATCCATTAATAGTTTGTACCTTTTGTATATTTCAGTACAGGTTTACTCTTCTATTCAAATATAGTGTATTCTGATGAAACCTTAAATTCTGATTAAATTTCTTACGAAATCTTCCAATTACAAGAGAATTGTCTCTTGAATCTCCAGATAATTCATTCATTGCACTTTGTTCACTATCTCTTTCTTCTCAGGAGTAATATATTAAACAGAATTTCTGATAATATAGAAATGTCTCTTTCTCTCTACACTCATCTGTGAAAATTTTTGTATTTGGTGATTTTAATGTTCATCATGTCAACTGGATTAAGCATTCTAATGTTACTGATGTTGCCAATATTCAGACATACAATTTTTCCGTCTCTCAGTTAAATAGTGAATTTCCTTACTTGTTTCCCTACTAATTCTGATAAAGACGGTTCTTCACTCTCCTAGCTCTTGGTGAGCATCACAACTCTGTCTTCTTGGCAATTAGGATCACTATGGTATCTGTTGAAATTTCTTTTGTGTAGTCTATTAGAAAGAAACCTCCTATTTACATGACTTTTTCTGTTGCCTCCTCTCTTCACTCAATTTGACATGTTAGCATCTTCTGTTGATAAAGCAAAATGTTTTGCTTGTAAATTCTCTTCAAATTCTGCTCTTCACTCATCTGGACTATTTTTGTCTGATTTTCCACTTAATACCAAGCTTAATACTAAACTGCTTCCCTACAAAGCATGTGGACAATAGTGTGTTAAAATTTCATAGTTGTGTTGTCATATCCTGCTATGGCAACAGAAAACAATTTTGAGTGAAATCAGCAATAAAGGATACTGCAAATGAAAGGCTTTGAAAAAGAATGTAGTGGAAAGAGAAGTAATATTAATAACTAGCAGTAGAGCCCGGGGATGTAACAGTAAGAGATAGCTCAAGTATCAACCATCATAAAGACTGAAAAATAAAATTGACAAAGATTATTGTTTACGCATGTCTTAATTATTTTTTTTTTTTTTTTTTTTTTTTACGAATTGGTCAAACAAAAACATTGTTTTCAATCGTTATGAGTCTACCGATTGAATAGAATTTTATTATAAACAATTGTCTTGTAAATGGAATTTTTAAAGCATTCTGAATGTAAAAATAAAAAAAAAAAGTGTGCAAGACAATAAGAAACACTACCTGCCAAAAAAAGGCGTTTTTCTTGAAATCTGTTGAAAATGTAGGAAATCCGATCCCATATATAAACGAATACACACACACACACACACACACACACACACACAAACAACCTGGGTTTTATAATAAGTATAATTCGATATGAGTTGTCCCCCTTTCATTCTTGCGATACCTCTTAATCGTGTTTTCAAATTGATTTTGTGCAAAAACAATTGTTTTTCCAATTTTTGGCACTGTCAGAACCACTGCAAGGTAATTTTACGTAGTCCTGTGAAGTTTTGTTGAAATCAGTTGAAAAATGTAGGAAATCCGATCCAATATATAAACGTACACACACACACACACACACACACACACACACACAACCTGGATTTTATAATAAGTATGATGCAGAGTGCTAATGTTTAAGAAATGTGCTTCTGAACTGCCTCCTGTTCTCTCTAAACTCTTCAATAAATGCCTTGTTGCATTTTCCTTTCCTGCTTATTAGAAATTCTTTTCTGTAGTTCGTCATGAAGAACGCAGATGGACAATCTCATCCTTCCTTGGGTCGATCGCCATCTTAGCCATCTTAGCGAAAACATAAACCAGACCACCTGCCAGTTATGACAGGATCAATTTTCATAATCTTAACTCTCACAGCAGGTTCATTCTCTTTTCATTTCTCAATTCATTTTTGCTAATGAAAATATAATTCCTGTCTGCCTCTCTTCTTGCCAATGACACATGTTTTTTGAATTTCTCAAGAAACAGATAAAGCCATTTTCAAATTTGCTTTACCTGAAAGCCAGATTTTTAATGGATAAAAAAAAAAAAAAATAAAGTGAACTCTTGGTGCATTGTTCCAATTCGTAGGGGTGAGATAAACCAGATGGCCCTTTCTTCACTTCCAATATTAACAGAGAAATGTATTCAATTCTCTTCCAGTTTATATTTCATTCTGAGATTAACCCTTTTTCTGCTTGGAATTAATATTTAACCACCTCACAGCCTCAGTGTCATGATCTGGTGGCTATGCTTCAGTCAAATTCCCACTATGCTTTTCTATAAATACTTTCTTGGTAACTGTTTGGATGAGCTCTTCGCTATGGTAGATTGGACTTTTTGAATTTACTAGAACATTACTAAACTGGTGTTGAGATCTCATCAATTTACAGTTGAGATGGCCAGATGTAACTGTAAATTCTATGCTAACAGTTTCTTTTCTTGCACTTCTCACTTGTGGAACTCCTTTCCACTTCCATGCTTTCCATCCAACTTTAAACTGCAAAAATTTAAATGCAATGTCAATCACTATCTACTGTCCTCCTGATTGCTTTTTCTCCTTGTCACTCATTATTAATGTTTCTGTTCTTAATTCTTCCACACCCTGTAACCTCTTGTGTCTTAGTGGCTTTACTGCCTTGCATGGGGCAATACTGATTTAATACACACACACACACACACACACAAAAAAAACTTTTCACTTTATCCAACATAGGGATTAGCATTTATCTCAAAATTTCAGACAAGAAATAAACTTTATACCAATTTTGAAATCAGTCCAGAACTTTATGCATGCACTACACATTTTATTTTATTTTTGTTAATTATTTTACTAACTCAAAATATTTATTCTTTTTAATTTTCTTGTAAATTATTTTATCTTGTTTTTAATGGAGTCTCTTGACACTTGTGCATAAACATCATTCAAATAGTCTTTTTTAGAGGTTCTATGGAGGCAAGACTTTTTGTAATTCAGTAGCAAGTATCTCTGCCTGTCATACAGTGGGTTTTTTTAATTAGTCCCATATATATATATATATATATATATATATATGTGTGTGTGGTTAACACTTCCAAATAAGCTCAGTGATCTCGTCAACTGTATTTATTTCAAGCAGACAATGGAATATTATATAACTAGGTGTTTGTTAGCTGTGATATGATGAATAAAATTTAATAAAGAAACCTACCAAAACTTGCATTTTCTTTCATGATTAATAAAGGGAATTATTGTCTGGCTACGCCATTTACTTGGGGGCAGCATTGACAGTCAAGAAAAAAGAGAAATTGTTACTGGTAATGTAAACATGATTATTATATTATTACTATAGAAACATGTAGTAAATGAAACTCGAGACAAACTTTTCCAGTGTATTGATGATGAGAGGAAAGAAAACAGAAACAATGTGGAATAAAAGCAGTAATGGCACCTACCATGATTCCATTATAAAAATTTAGGATATGAAAATAATAAATACTAAACACTTAAAAAAAAAAAAAAAATCAACATTCCCTACGAAGGTTTCCAAGAAGTTGGATCCAAGAGAAACCTTTCCAAAACAGGGTTCTGATGATGAAGGGAGATATGCTGATGGCATAGGTATTCATAGTTGGGATAAGAATGATCTTGAATCAAAAATCAACATCGTCTTCCATGGGTTCCAAGAAGTCGCACCCAAGAGAAACCTTTCCAAAACAGGGTACTGATGAGGAGGAGATATATGCTGATGGCATAGGTATTCATAGTTGGGATAAGAATCATCTTGAACCAAAAATCAACATTCTCTACCAAGGGTTTCAAGAAGTTAGACGCAAGAGAAACCTTTCCAAAACATGGTTCTGATAACGAGAGGAGATATGCTGATTATATAGGTATTCATAGTTGGGATAAGAATGATCTTGAACCAAAAATCAACATTCTCTACCAAAGGTTCTGAGAAGTCAGACCCAAGAGATATAACCATAAGATCTATTTTAATAGTTTCTTTTCTCACACTTCTCACCTGTGGAACTCTCTTCTATTTTCTACCTTCACTGCCACCTATGATCTTCAAAAATTGTCAGTTGTCATCTTCTGTCTTCCTGAAACCTGTTCTTTTCTTGTCCTTTGTCCCTACTAAGGTTTTCTTATTCTCTTTCATTCCCAGTAACACCTTGCGTCTTTATTGCCTTGCTTGGGGTGAAATGCAAAAACCATAAAATGCAGTGTATTTGTGACATGTTACATTTTACTTTAGTGTCCATTGCATGTTTTTATTTATGGTGAGTCCTCACTTGATGTGGATTATCAGGCCACAGCCTCACCATGCTAGTGTATCTGCTGTGATTTCTGTGTTAAGTAAGCTTTTTACTGGGTGGAAATGTCGGTACCATCTCCAAATAGTTATCTTTCTCTTAGATTGGACAACTAGAGAACCTGGTTTGCTATACTATTTAACTCATAGCTGAAAGAAGAAGAAATAATTGACTCATAACT